GATAAGGCCTGGCATATAGCAAGGGTTGTGTCAGGACTAACTTATCTTACTATAATCTAGAACACCAATGTTCAAGAATTTATTTTATCCTCAGCTTTTTATTTCTCCCTGCCCTATCCCCTGCTTCCTTCCCTACTCAGATCAACATGCCCCACTACCCCCAAAAGGCTAAACATTCTAGGAATTTTGTACTATTGAGGGTGAGAGCACCAACTTCCACTTGCCCAATAAGTGGGCAGTCTTCAGTGAGCAAGGTGGAGGGTGGGGCATGAGAGCTTCCAGGTGGGAAGTCCCAGGAGAGGACTCTGCCAAGGGAATTCGCTCTGAAACAATGAGGAAGTGACAACAGAAAGTGACCACTTGTAAATCATTTTCAACATTACCTGGAGAGAAGATTTTTTAAAGTTCTTTATTCTTTTACTTATATCTTTGGCAGTTTTACCACATATTTTTAGAGAACCTCTTTGTGTGTGCCTTATATGCTCATGCACTTGGGTTGTGATTTCCTGGCCGCGAAGCACCTTTGATAAATAAATGACTGATTGATAGAGTGTCAGGACCCTGCTGAAACCTTGATGTGAGAGATGAATGGCCTCCCAGGGTTCTCCCACCTGCATTAGTTCAGAGGTGACAAATCTCTCTTTTCCCGACTTCCTAACCAAAGAAACAAGGAATTCAGTTGGACAGTGTCAAAACATAAAAAGTTATGAGTGCCCAGAGAACCTTATTTTCAGATTCCTATTCTAATATATTTTTAGAACCAGCAAAGACACTTTTGTCAAATAGTAGCGGTAATCCTTGCTTATATGTTAAAAAATAGGCCCATTTTCTATTTGTGAACAGCTGTGATCTGACAAACTATTCTCGGGGAGAAAAGTGATTATGACAAGAACAACTAGTGTGTAAAATTGTCGACCATGAGTTATTTCTCTCTGAAATAACTCAAAAAGCTCAGCTGGTATACATACATATTTAACTTTTTAATATAAAAACTTAGGCAAGCTCAGTCCATCTCTCTCTCTGAATGAGGACAGATTGATCAAGTAGGGAATGAAGGGGAGAGGAGGGGAGGGGTAGACGAGAAAGTTCATCACCTGTACAAGCAGGCATCAGTTCTTCTGCCCCAGCCCCACCCCTCACCGGCTTCCTGTAAAGCAGTTGGCTTCTGGCATCTTGTGTGTGCTTGGATGACCTGCAGACGTGTTCTGTTGACCCACTGGTTTTCAAAAATGCTTTTATTTGGTTTTACTTCAAAATTGGGTTTCACATGAAAGTCTGGATATGGGGACTCTGGGGGGAAGAAAATGGGAAGATCTGGTCAGTACTGGACTTGCATAACCATTGCGTATCAAGCAGCCAGAGTTGAGGGCGCACTCCTGCTTCGGGCCCGGGTCTTCTCTCCCGTTGGCCTGGCTTCTCCACACCTTACCTTTCGCTGTTTCCTCGCCTCTGAGTCCACGGTCACAGTGGTCAGTTCTCTGCCTGCAAGCGGTGCTAGGAACAGGAATTCATGGCTTCTGGCTGAGGGAGGCAGGACTCACAATAGGAGAAATTCCTCAGGCTTAGGAAAAGTGTTCAAAAGATGGTAGACGGCCACATGCCAGATGTCCCACCTCTACCAAAGGAAGGAGACGCTTGCAGAATAGTGTCTTGAAGCCCCTCTGTGGTTCAAACCTTTTCTTATTCTCTTCCAAACATGTAAAGTCTCCCAGCTGCTTGCATTTTTCTACTTCTGTTATCTCTGCTGATGTGCTACTTCTTCAACGGGAACCGCGTTGTTGTGTGCTTCTTCTTACAGCCACCTTTCTACCTGTTGAAAAATGCAATAGTCTCTACGAAGTGTTTATTTTTGGTCCCCCTTCCTTGTGTTTGAATTGATGATAACATTCCTTAGCACTCCACACCTCTCTTGGGGCATTTATTCTCCTCCACCTTTTATTATCGTTATTGTGGCAGTGAAGGAGGGGGTGTGATAAGATAAATGCAGCTTCAGTTAAGTGTCTGCTTTGTGTCAGGACCTGTATTATATTCTTTGTTTTAATTGTGATAACAAACTAAGAATTAAGCATGGTAACTATTTTACAAATAAAGTAAGACGGGTTAAGTATGGGGTTGGCCAAAAGGTCCATTCGGGTTTTTCATAACATTCAATGGGAAAAACCCGAATGAACTTTTTGACCAAGTCAGTAACTTGACTGAAGCCACACAACTGGGAAAAAGCAGTGGCAGAAGTAGAACCCAGGTCTGATTGTAAGATCAGCACTGTCCCCCATAGTCAGAGTCTCATGTGCTGACAGGGCTCTATATTCCATTTGCCACCCTCTCCTCTAATGGTGTTTGACTATCTTACCTACATTTTGATGCTGATTTTCAGGATTATTTCATGAGTTGGGAGAAAATATGAAAGCCTTTGAGAATCTGGCTTTTTTTATCCTAATCACTTTTAATACACTACAGAACAAAATGACACATTTTAATATATTGGGAGAGCACAAAATATCAGAGAGCTCATGAGTACAGCCTGTGACTTCCTGGAGCTCTGCATTCTTAACTGTCAGATTTTAACAAGTTATGCTCTAGATAATTGCTTAATTATTATATCTGTCAAGAAAAAGCCTTTACCACCATCAAGTGCTAGATGTAAAAAATATGCTTTCATGTCAGAGCTTGAAAAATCATTCCTTTGATTTCAGCGAGACAGAAGCCCAGTGACACCTGGTCACTCTCAGATTTGTAAAGGTAAACCTAGATGGAAAGTAAAGGATGCTAAGGTTAGAGGGGGAGCACATGGAAGAGTTATACTTTCCTGGAGAAGGTCCTTTTCACCCGAGGGTCTCAGAAATACTTCAAGATCTTTGCAAGATGGAAGCAGAGAAGTAATATGATCTGAATTATACCAAGTTAATAAAACAAATGCAGTTTTGAATCAGAAAGGACAGGGCTCTTATGAAGCTCTGATATTCTTTCTGAAACTTAGTAGAAACTACATGAACTCTCTGAGATGAAATTTGGTTCTTTATGGAAATGTCAATGTCTACCACAGAATTGTTGAAAGGATTAAATAAAACAGCACACCTAGGTACCTAACGCAGTCCTGAGTACATATAGGGGATTCAAAAAATCACAACAAAAAGGGGTCAGTCCTCATTATTCATGGATTCCACAGTTTGCTAATTACCTATTCTGTACACTTATCCTTCCTGCTTCATCATACTCAGGTTCCCAACTGAAGTTGAACAACGCAGCACTCTGCCTTCTGGTTACAACTTTCACCCAGTAAACAAATGTCCTGTTCACATTCTACTTACCACCATGTTTTTCAAAATGTTGTGCATGTTGTTGGTGATTTCGTTTCCGTGGCCCCCCAATTGTAGTGAAGTGATGCTTAGTGCTCCTGAATGCAGGAAGGCTATGATGTGCCTTATGGAGAAAAATATAAAGAGCTTCCCAGGTGGTGGTAGTGAAAAGTAATCTGTCTGCCAGTACAGGAGACACACGGGGCATGAGTTTGATCCCTGTGTTGGGAAGATCCCCTGGAAGAGTAAATGGCAACCCACTCCAGTATTCTTGCCTGGGAAATTCCACCAGCAGAGGAGCCTGACAGTCTATAGTCCATGGCTGCAGAGTCAGACAGGACTGAGCAATTGAACACACACACACACACACACACACACACACACAGAGGCAAGAGTTATAAAACAGTCTATATGAAACAAGGTATCTTTAATGAGAGACACAGTATATAAAACAAAGCTATATGTTTATCAGCTGACGAAAATCTTGTTACCAGAGACTCTCATAAGCCTAATCCTGTATCCTTTCTAGGAGTGGTGGTTCAGGTATTTGCTAACTCAGTCTTCATGGCAACTAAACCATGAATAATGAATGAAAATCAGGTCTAAACTTATGGTTATGGGAGGAGGGTGAAGAAGGAGAGGTAAATAGGAAGGTTGGGATTGACATATACATACTACTATTAATATATGTAAAATAGATAACTAATAAAGATCATGTTGCAAACAGTAAAGGCTGTTGGTAAATAAAAAATAAAAGCTAGAATACTATAAATGAATTGGGATTTTGCATTGAAGAAACAGAGGCACAGGCCTTGTTCCAGTCTTCCAGTGACTAGAAGGACAGAAAAACAAAATTACGCTTGCTTCCGTCTGAGGTTTATTTCTATTTCTAGATTTTAAAACAGTCACAGACATATGCATGCAAACACATTCTACAGAGCAATGCCATATTTATCTGGAGATCAGACATCCTACAATATTAACTCTCTGAAACATACCTATATTTGCAGAATCATACCCCAAAGCCCTCCATGCAGCAAATACTGGATATAAAGCCTTTGGGGAGAAGTGTCAGGTTCCCACCCAGATGATTGTATAGAACCAACAACAGAAGAACAGCAAGAAAAGTAAGAGTGACAACAGAAGGAACCACGAAAATAACTAGTGCCCATGTAAGCCTGGCTGCAGGCTGGCAACCTGAGTAACCATTGAGCCTGCAACATTCAGAAAAGGTTGAATTTCATTCCATTTGCTCTGCTTAGGAAAATGGGAGTATGTGCAGAATACTTTTAAATTGCATCCAAAATGATAGATGTTTAATGCTTAAAGAGGTAGAATCTGTTACTTGAAATAGTTGTTATGGAATGAAGTGTTGCTATTTATGTATTCACATGTTCTATTATACTGAGACATAAATAGCTAAATTTTTATCAGTTTTGTTACCTAATTCTCTCTAAAATCTGGCTATTTCTTTCAGTCTCCAGCAGTAGTCACAATGCCTGCCTCACAGTGGGTATTCTGTATTTATTGAAAGAAGAGTGAATGAATGGCAAGTGAATCAAACTACCCATAAAATCCGTATGTTTGTGTGACGTGTGCATGAGTAAAGACACCCAAGTTTAAAACTCTGCCTTTTCTCCTTTCCAGAGCAGAGACCGTTGTCTTGGGACCATTCATAAGAAAGAGACACCCACACCGTGACATATGCCAGTGCCACCACCACCACCTCCTCCTCCTCTGCCTCCACCTCCCCCACCACTGGGGGCTCCTCCCCCTCCCCCACCGTCAGCACCCCCGGTAAGAATGTTTGGGTTTTTTTCTGTCTGTTTTACTGGAATAAGCTTGAGCAGGCTTTAAATATTCAAAATCAGCCATCACCCAGCTCCTCTAGGGCAGGTGGCATCTTAGGTAGCTGGATCTATGGTGCCAGTGTCTAACTCCAAACCAGTCTGGCCACGTATTTCCCTCCCAGTTCGTTGGCAGCCCCCACCCTCTACCCCAGCGTCCTCTACAGATGTCTACGTGATTTTTAATTCATGCTGCTCAATATAAGCTTCCCGAATCTCCCTAATCAACTCTTCCATCTCACGGGAAACCTCAGTTGAGAGGCTACAATGAGTCAAGGAGGCATGCTCACATCAAGTTCCCGGTTGTGATCTGGATGTTGATAACAGTAGCTTGGGCTTCAGCTGCCCCATTCTGGGACCAAGTAAGAGGAGTGGCATATGAAATGCCACAACAAAATGTGCTAAGTCATTTCAGTTGTGTCCAACTCTTTGCAACCCCATGGACTTTGCCCACCAGGCTCCTCTGTCCATGGGATTCTCCAGGCAAGGATGCTGGAGTGAGTTGCCATGCCCTTCTCCAGAGGATCTTCCTGAACCTGGAATCGAACCCTTGTCTCTTATGTCTCCTGCTCTGGTAGGCAGGTTCTTTACCGCTAGTGCCACCAACATCTCTAAATGAAATCTCCCCTCCTGCACAAGACTGAATTCGGTCTGTTTCAGTGTGTGTTGCTGATACTCTCTTTTGGTTTAATAGTTTGCTTTGAGTTTAGAAGGAGAGGCACAGGAAGTGGTTATTGTGTTTTAGAACAGGCCGTCTCACCCTTAGCACTGTGGACATTTATGGCCAGATTGTTTTGTGGGGGGCTGTCCTGTGCATTGCAGGTTGTTTAGCAGCATCCCTGGCCTCTACCCACTAGTCGCACCCCCAATTATGACCATCGAAAATGTCCCTAAACATCGCCAAATGCTCCCTTGAGGGCAAAATCTTCTCACTTCCCTTGCTTTTAAAAGAATGTTCATGCTTAATGCTCATCGCAAGCCCTTTCCTGAGGAAACCCCAGGGCACTTCTCATGTCTTCATCCTCCAACTCAGAGCCAGGTCTGGCGCAAGAACCGCCGCTCCTGTTTTCAGTGGAAGATGAAAGATATGATGCCATGGCGATAAGGCGTGCAGAGGCAGGGCTGCCCAGGGGTGATGTGAGCCAAGTCAGCAACAGCCAGGAATACAGCCTTACCTGCCATTCTCTTCCCCCACCCAGGTGCACTCCTCCCCTCAGATCCGCAGATGACACGACCATGGCACTATAGGTTATGAAGGGAGGGCCTGAGACCCTGCTGCCACAGATACTGGCCATGGTGAGAACAAGGGTGTGCCTGAGGTCACAGGTCACCCCATGACATTAGCCTGGCAGCTTGACCATATCTGAAGTGCAGGGGCATAGACCTGCCTGAAACTTGGCCCTTGCCCTTGAAGACAGCGGAAAGAAAGCACGAACATACTGTGAGTTGTATCTGAAAGCTCTCTGACCAATACATAGAAAGAATAAGAGTGAGTACTGACGTTCCACTGCTGAATTGGACACAAGGAAAGCATGGAACGGACAGTTTATAAGTGAAAGAAACATAACGTAAAACTATAATATGGGTCTTACACAGACCTGCTGGTCCTGAAGAAGCACAACTTAAAATAACTTCAAGTACCACAATATACCCATAGACTTAGCTAGAATAAATAAACTTACCAAAACCTGTATTGTTGGGGATTTGGGAAAATAAGCCCTTTTAAACATGGCTGAAAAGTGAAAGTGTTAGTTGCTCAGTTGCATCCAACTCTTTGCAGCCCCATGGACTGTAGCCCTCCAGGCTTCTCTGTCCATGGGATTCCCAGGCAAGAATACTGGAGTGAGTTCCCATTTCCATCTCCAGGGATCTTCCCGAACCAGGGATCAAACCCATGTCTCCTGGGTCTCCTGCGTTGCAGGCAGATTCTGTGCTGGTGACATACAAATACTTGGGACTCAAATGTTAAATGAGTCTTTCTGGAGTGTTCTGACAAAAAAACACCAAACCCGAATGTACCCCTTTCTCCCCTGACAATCTAGTAGTTTCATTTTTGAAACTGACTCAAGAATTTAACCCTGAAGGAACCAAGAAAGAATTTATACAAAGGATGTGCACAGCAAAGCTATTTATTCTAGTGAAAAATTAAATCGTAAATGGTTTGTGAGAACTAAATGAACTACATTGTCAAGCTGTTAATTAAAAATTACATTATGCCATATTGTTAATTAAAAATTACATTTGTAACTATGCTGATTATAGAAAGTAGATATGGAATGATGAATTAAAAGCAATGCATATGTTGTGCACCATGAATCAGCTATATATGTAGTAAATACAAAAGATCAGAAGAGAATTTTGAATGTTGATAGTAAAATTTTACTTTTCATTAGGGAATTCTTTTTCTTTTAATATGCTTAAGTTCTTATAAACAAAAATAATTCCACATTTGGATAATTTTTTGCATTTCCTCTCTCATTTCTAAATTGTTTTTGTTATGCCTCTTACGGAGGAACTAATCAATTAAGGAGGAAAGTAGCCAAGTAAACGTAAATATTTTTAAAACACATCTTTTTACAATCTGGGAAAAATATTTATAATGCATATATTAGGCAAAGAATTAACAGCGTTAGCATATAAAGAGCTCTTATGGATCAATATGGAAAGATGAGTAGAAAAATGAGCCCAGGATATGACCAAGTAGGATAAATACAAATGTTTCAACCTCACTACAATTGAATAAACACAAGTCAAAATAATTAGAAACCATTTCATCTATCAGTTTGGTGATGGAACTTTTTAAATGTTGCCTGAGTGTTAGGAATCAGGCACTTCTCACTTTTTTTTAGTGGTTTATTTATTTACTGACCCCCTTCCCACTTATTCACCCCCACCACACACAAGGCTGGATGACTTAAGGAGCCTGTGACATGATGGATGGACTTTAGGTTCTTTTGGCTCTGATGCTTGTTTTCCAGGTAAGCCACAAAGGCACTTATATATCAGGCACTTATTACTCTTAATAGGAGCAAAAATTGGTATAATTCCCTGAAACACAATTTGTTAATATGGATCAAATCCCTTTAAAAAGTGGATGACCTAGTTTCACTTCAACTAATTTCCTTTAAGTATCTCATCATAGTATACAGAAATATGTATCTATAGCATATTAATGAAAGCAGTACTTATGATAGCAACCAAAAAAATAGAAACAATCTAAATATTTAAAACCAGAAGGTTCAATAAAAAATGATTATGTAATCCACAAAACAGTATTCTAGGTACCCACTGAAAATCATATCAAATTTATTTTGTGACTTCCAATATAATGATTGACTCAGGCAAGGATCATGCATCAAACCTAAAACCACATAGCAGAAGGTTTGGGGAACAGAATAAACGGAGGATCCCAAGTATAACTCACAGACTACTTCTGATTACAAAGTGGAAAATGTATCTTTGATATGGATCAAACTTTGTATCACCTGTCATTATCACAAGCCTTTTGCTGTGATGAATAAAGAAATTCACAGCAATACCCTGCAGTAACCTGCCAAAAATGAGTGTTCTTTGAGCAGGCAACTAGACACATCCAGAATGTGGGACCTTCTACAATAGAGGCTGCCATCTAGAGCAGAGCCCATGGTCAAGTTTTAGTAGAGCCCTCGAGCTGAGAATGGTGTTTGCATTTTCAAGTGATTGGGAAAAAATCAAAAGAAAAATAATGTTTCATGACACATGAAAAATATATGAAATTCAAATTTCAGTCAATAAATAAAATTTTATTAGACCACAGCCATGCTTATTGTTACATATTATCTATGGCTGTTTCTATGCTACAGTGACAGACCACCAATTAAACAATTTGTTATTCCCCTTAAAAAGGTTTCCCTTAAAAAAAAAAGATTTCCCTTTTCCCTAGTTGACCTGTGTTTTTAAAATTATATACAGTTATTATTATTATATTTTGAATTCCATCAATAAAAATTTAGTGGAAATGTGTGGAGTTTTTTGTTTTAATACTTACAGAATAGGCTTCCCAGGTGGCACAGTGGTAAAGAATCTGCCTGCCAAGCAGGAGATGCAGGAGACACAGGTTCAATCCCTGGGTTGGGAAGATCCCCTAGAGAAGGGAATGGCAACCCACTCCAGTATTCTTGCCTGGAGAATTCCATGGACTGAGAAGATTTGCAGGCTGCAGCCAGTGGGGCTGCAGAGTCGGACACAAGTTAGCGATTAAGCAGGGTTAGGAAATGAAGTTAAACTCTTTGTAGGCAGTGTTCAGGACTTTGAAACATCTATGCTCATGGACCCGCATGGCAGATTTTATTATATGTCATCTTTGCAAGGAGGAGACATTTTGTGTGATATGTATGATCAGACTTCACCTTAGCTCTGGAAGACCCAGGGATTAGACCAAGGCTAAACATTTAATTTTTTCTCTCCCACCTTCTCATCTTTCCCCTTCACCTCCTCCCCTGGATGTGCATCTACTGGAAATGAGTAAAGGGCTGATGGGGCTTTCTGAAGTTCTGGAGCAGGCTCTAACTAAAAACTAGCCCTCATCATCTGTTTTCCCATCTTTTCTTGCCCTGACTTCCCTGTCTTTCAAGCTCCATTCCTTTGTCTCATCCCATTGAAATCCAGTTGTTGTTGTTTAGTTGCTAAGTCATGTCTGACTCTTTGCAAACCCATGGACTGAAGCATGCCAGGCTTCCCTGTCCTTCACTATCTTCTGGAGTTTGCTCAAGCTCATGTCCATTGAGTTGTGATGCCACCCAACCATACCATCCTCTGTTGTCCCCTTCTCCTTCTGCCCTCATTCTTTCCCAGCATCAGAATCTTTTCCAATGAGTCGACTCTTTGCATCAGGTGGCCTAAGTATTGGAGCTTCATCTTCAGCATCAGTCCTTCCAATGAATATTCAGGGTTGATTTCTTTTACGATTGA